CTGGAAATTTGGAATTTAAGGCCGTTTAACTTTTTGTATTTAACCACAATTCAATAAAAAAATCTTTTTATAATAAACGTGAATAAGTATTTACAATTAAATGATATTTTACTCAATATTGTTTAAAAAAAATCAAGTCATTGCCAAAAATTACAAATTTGAAAGGAATTTCAATGCGTTTAGAATCCTTTATCTCGCCGCAAAATTCTAGGGACGTACTTTTTCTATCGCAAAGCACTTTAATCTCGTTTTCCACTCCAACTGAAAACCGTGTCCTTCAAATAAAACCTCATTCAGACTGCGGGGAAAAACTCAAAGGGCCGTGTCGCATTACGAAAATCGGTTTCATCCGACGGGGCGTTTGGCGTGTGCATGAAAAGGGCAACAGGGCTCGTCACTGCTGTGCGCGTTCAGGATTATGGCGGGCAAGACAAATTTCTGGCCATAATCCCAATGTAAATAGGGGTCGACGAGCATTTTCTCTCTCTCTTATTCGCGCGTGCAACAACACCGCGTGCAATTCGAGAGTGCAGGCAGAGGGCATTAGTCGAATGACAAATGCTCCTCCGAGTGGCGCGTCCGCCGCGTTCTGGGAGCAGCCGCATCTGGCCCGCCACGCAGATGAGTTATTATTATTTGACTGCTTAAGCCTATTTGGGGTCTCGCGCGTGTGCATAATATTATGTTTTAATACCGTCGGCAAAGGCTGCAGATTTAATTGTGCCGAGAGCCGAGTGAAATTAAATTTCCTGTGTGCTGCTCCAGACCGAGGCGCTCCACGATCATGATAATTAGATTATTAAATTCCTGCCTCTGCGTGTTAATTTAAAACAAGGCGAGGATGAAAATCTCAAAATCAAAGCCAGCATGCTTGAGAATTTCTTTATTTTAATTAAGAATTAAAAAAAAGTAATTTTGATTTTAAATAATTTCTCTCTCTTTAAGATCAAAAGGAATTTTTCTTAATTAGATGTCAGCATAGGGGTGGAGAAACCCCCCAAAATTTTTTAAACTACAATCTCCTCTTTGTGAGATTCATAAAAGTGCCCCTATTACATAAAATATCTGCGGCTTCCTTTTTATAGTTTTCCTCTTTCGCCGCCGCCGCCGCGAGTCATGTTTGTGCCGCGCGCATAATTATCACGCCACTCATCTCTGCCTCTTTTGTGCGCCAAATTTTCGGTTTGTGTGTGTTACCATGAGCAAAGCAGGCAGTGTGTTGGGGCAGCCAGAGGGGCCTCCGCCGCTTAAGCACCTATATCATTATCACCAAAGCGCAAACAGCCGCCAAGCTGTCGCTCACACCGCAAAAAACGGCCGAGGAGCGATTTTTTGCGCGGACCAACAACGTCTTCATAACAAAAAGAGGTGGAAAATATATGTATAAGTGCGGTGTGATATCAAGAATAAAGAATAATATATGCATGAAAAGGTTCTGAGCCTCTGCAACTTTTTTCTTTCTTTTGAAAAAAGAAGAAGAAATTTCAGAATAAGATCCAATAAATCATTTTCATTTATGTAATGAGAATTTTAAAAATAACAGAAACAGACTTAGAAACAGTTTTCTAATCCTGAAATGCCAAAATTCTAATTTTTTTAAACAATTGTAAAGAAAATATAGAAAATTATTTTTAAAATGCAATGATTTTAACTCATAATTTTATGAAAAATTTGACAAGGACAATAGAATTATAATATATATTATCTTTTAATTCTTTTTTATACTTCTTTAAATAACAATAGTGTATATTATGATATTTGATTTATTTGTGAAACTTTTATAAATTAGTTGATGTCAATAGTACTTTATAGAACTCAAAAATCATTTATATTTTTCAATGAAAAAGTTGAAAATTTATAAGGTTTCTAGCTCAGTACATATTGCCTGTAAGAAGTGTATTCACAAATATGAAGAAGTTATGTGCTTATGCAATTAACGGATTATATGCGATTATATGTCATTAATGAAAATAAAAATAAGGTAATGCCGAATTTAATGTTTTGAGACACATCATCGTCCCTGGCAATAACCAAGCTACATCTTGTCTAAGCCACTCTGGGAATATGCAACGCAATCCCCGTCGAGCTTTCATTCCAACAAAGTCTTTCATTTATCAAAAGCGCGCCTATACGAAGGCGGAGGAGATTTGAGTGTACAATCCTTTCTTTCAGTTTTTCTTCTCTCTTTTATTATTACTCTCGCGGCGCTGAGAGTGCAACAAAACGGCGTCGCTTAGCGAAACGTTCAGCAACAATGACTGCGCCGATAACAATAATCGTCGTTTAGCCGAGCAAACGAAAATGAATGAGGCCTTGATTAATGGAGAAAAAAGAACCGGCAGAGATGATCCTCGCGATTCTCTATTTATTTTTGCCGGATGACATGTTAATAAGGAAAAGCTCATCATTCATGCACCTTAATGAGCTCAACGTATTTATTTTTTTTCCAGCCTGATGATTTCATTACGTCGCACACCTTTGAAAATTGAATCGCCAGCAGATTAATACATATATTTACTTTTCAATTTATGCAATTGTTCCTCCAGCATGAAAGACAATGAGTTTTATTGATAAAAGAGCAGCGATGGTTTCGCCGATTAAATAAAACTCTTGCTAAATTCAGCTCCAGCCGCAGACACAAAGCGAAAAAATTTCGCCATCCTCCGAAATTGCCGGCTATTGAATTCGGCTGTTCGCAAAACGCCCTCTTGAAGAAAAGAATAGCCTCCCATATATATAATTTCTATTCAAAATGCCGAGGTCGCGACCCCTTTAATGGCTAAGAAAAATTCCTCGGCTGGTCTCCTTTTTGCAGCGCGCGAACCATCAAATTATCAAGTTGGGCTGCACAGTATATTATAAAGTAAAAGTTGATTCATTACACGAACGCCGATTTGCAGGTGATGAATGGGATTTGGCAACTTTTGCGCAAAAACACCTCGAATTTCAACCTAGGCTGGAAATTTAATAAATTTAATCAGTCGCGCTCGTGCGTAAATTAAAGTGAGTTTTTGCTGCAGCCGCGCTCGAGAGAGATATCATCCGGCGAATCACGATTTCCACGACTTGCAAAAGCGGCCCTTTTGACAAGGATTAATGCTCGAACCGATCACTTTATCAAAGTGCAGAGAGAGACGCAGCTGCCTTTTCTTATTCTCGCCGGTTCTCTGACCTTAATTTCACTCCGCCGCCGCGCAAACTTTGACATTTGTGTAATTAAATCGAATAAAGAGAGAGATTTTCAATTTCAAGACGCGCGCACGTGAGAGGATATTTATTATCCCTGCGCGTGCAATGTGTGAGAGATCGAAAAAGAATCAGAAAAAGCAGACAACACATTCTATTGCACTTAACCGGGTTTGACGGCAGATTAAGCAGTGTGTCTCGAGTAATTAATCTTCATCCAGCACAAAAGATATACTTGTGATTTCTTCATCTTTCTCTTTCTAATCGGTTTAATCTCTCTGAAGGGAGGCTAATTAACGGTCAGATTTAATTACTAATCTGGGTGTGCCCTGAGAAAAGCACTCGTCATTTTTTTTTAACCTTAAAAGGATTTTATACTCTACATAGTTTAAATTCGCTCGCGTGCAAATCGCAATTAATAATTATGTCAGAGCAAATTACAGATTTCGATTAAGCGTGCAAAACGACTCTCTCAATTAATGAGCAGCTTTCGTCGCAAATTGGCTTACACAGTGAAATCGAACACCAGGTAAAATCAAAGACCTTTCGCCGGTTTTAAATTTAGAGTGCACCGGTGTAATGGACACATTGGCAGGTTATTAGACGTGTAAGGTGTGTGGCGTAATAATGCTTTCATGTTAGTGTGCCGGATCATAAATCAAAACGGCGAGTTGGACGGTGCAAAAAAATGCTAATTAAAGTTATGGAGCCTGAAAAATTAGTACATCAGTTTGATTTAGCAATTTTGTTTTACGACCACCCAATGAATTATTAGTTTAAGATAAATGCATTTGTTTTGCATGAAATATTCAGATTTTTTGTATAAAATTCCTTTAAATCTTCATGCAAATAAGTTACAAAGACGCAGAACGATGTAGGAAGAGAAATTTTATTGTAGTTTTCTTTTTTCTGAATCTGGGGAAAAGTCCTTTTTGAACAGAAGTTAATATTTTGTTACATTTTAATTATTGACCGTCGCTAATGTTTGAAATAAAAAATTGTTCAAAAAAATTGCTTTGGAAACTCCAACGATCACTTAAATCATAGTTTAATTTTTAGTTACTCAGCTGCTTCTGCTTTGAAAATTAAGTTATTTTCGAAAAAAAAAATTAGATCTTCCCTACATTTATTTATATTGCTATTTTTTTTTCTTTTTTTGAAAAAAATGATCATGTTTGATAGTTAAAATGTGACTTTTGAAACAAAAACATATTGCAGAAAATTACCATTTATTTGAATAACTGTATTTGCAGCTACATAGAAAATTTAAAAGTATTTATCGTGACAATAATTAAAATGAAATTTATGTCTGTAGCGGCCATTGAGTGCTTTTTAGCTTTGTTCGGGGGTAGAGTTTCACAAACACATCAGAGGCGACGGCGTGCATATTATTTTGTGCTTATCATTACGCTATTGTTGTGTATACGTATGATATATCAGACTCAAAAAACCGCACACACTCGCACAATAGGGCTGAATACGTAATGCACAAAAAGTGACATCACTTTCTCATTATATTCAAAACACTTTTTCAACGCGGCCATCTGCGCCCGCCGAGATTCTGTCTCTCTCTGCTTTAAAGCCGGATCGAAATAAAAAAAACCCTTTGCCGGCGCGCGTGTGATATATTTATCCCTTTATTCTCCGCGCGTCGTGCGCGTGAAAATATATACACATTAAATTGCAATGCGAGAGAAAATGTGAGAGACAGAATTTGGAAAAATACGGCTCTCTTTTTAAAGTAAATTTTCCCTCTCCGGTTCAATGAAGGAATGACAGTGTCGCTTTTTTACTCTTTGTGGAATCCACCTTACCTTTTGCATAAGCGTGTGGCTGACATGTAATTTTTTATCTCGCGCGCCGAGAGCAGGAGGTTGGTTTTCAGCGATCAGTGGCACCGGCAGCACTTCTTCTGCGAACACAGAAAACAAGTCGTCAGTACGGTTTTCGTATTTCTTTCTTTCTCTCTCGCTAGAATTAACATTCGCTCTCAGCGAAGAAGAGAGGTAAAGGAATAATATATATAAATAAATCGGACAGACGTATACGGAGAACCGCGGTTTCAAGGTTCACAGAGCGTGCTGTGTTTTTGCTCTTGAGATCGGCTTTTCTTTTATCTTTTGGAGCTGATCGTTTAATTATGAACCAAAACGAGCATAAAAAAACTCACCGATACACAATTGAAACACATTTTGAGGGAGCGCAAAAACACTGTAGCTCGACAGTAAAATTGTAAGGAAGCAGACAATCAGCTGTGGGAAAAACGCCCTCTAACAGCCATAGTGATAAGAATAACCGCCTAATTAAACCGGTAAAAACCGGAAGCAACCAGCCAGTGCATATGCAGTAGTTCCAACCCAAAAAAACATATTTTTTTCTGACATAATAGTTTTTATAGAATTATGTCCTCTGTCAACACAAAAAATAGTAAAATTTCAACAAAATGTCAACTTTTCATTCATATATTTTATATAACTTTCTCAAATTTTGAGGTATTTAATTTAATTTAATTTTTTTTTATGGTTGAAATTAAAAGTGACTCTCCGTGTGGTTCATATGCAAGCGTGGGTCGCTACCCTATCTCTTTCTCTCTGGCTAACTAAGGCAATGAAAGTAATTCCAAGTGCCGTGCCAAACATCTGTGGCCAAGATGAAATATCCGCCTGCGGTCTTCAGGGAATTTCGCATAAGTAGCCGCGATTATTCCCATCTTTCTCGCCCCCTCTCCTCTCGGCCTCCCTTGCTAAACATTCAGCGTTACATTAGCCCGAGTTTGAATCCGCAGGGAAATGTGTCGTCGGTATTAATATTGCTCGGTTGGCTGACCGGCAATTAAGTCGCTCCCTTATTAGCTCGGCGGCCGACTGGGATTAAAATATTAAAGGATTGAGCTCCAAATTGGCCCGAGCCAGATGAGCACCCTGTCACAAAATGTGCTGGAATTGTTGCTGGTCAGCGCCGGTTTAATTGAATTTACGCGTCGGTTCAAATGAATGTTTGTGACGAGAATAATTTGTCGAGTAAGCAGCAGAGAGGAAAATGAGAAGTTGACACTGACAAATTAAACTGGACCCAGCTGGAGCCCAAAATAATTTCAATTTAAGAGTTTAAATTTGCAAATTTAGGACAGGTTGTTTTACCTCACAGCTTCAACAAATATGCTGATCAAATTCCCAGACATAAAATTAAGACAATTCATTTTTACAACTATTGAAGAAAGTAGAAAATTTTTAAGTTTATATTTATAAAAAAAATGTATTTTACATGTAAATATGTAAATAATTTAACGTATTATTTTATTGATATTTTCATTTAATTTTTTTAAATTTTAAATATTTTATTACTTTTTTAAGATTTCTTTTTTTCCATTTTAGCAAATTTTATTTCTTAAAAATGAAATTATTTTGGATAAATCAATATTATATTAAAATTCTGAGTGAATAAATTTGACGCGTCAAGTTAATATTGAATGGTAAATATTTGAAAAACTTATAATTTAGGGTTAATAATTTCTTCCAAAAGCTATTTTAATCTATTGATATCTGTCCTTAAGAAACTTCAATGTTAATTTGCAACGATTTAAAATCAATAAAAGCGTCAGTCCCGTAGCTGATATAACTAAGAAAGTATGTCACTCTGCTGCTCTAGTGGTCATTGCTCCCACGACGGGGCAAGAAACAAGTTCAAAAAGACACATAATTTGCTTTTCCTAAAAAGCACCTCTCGCTACATTCAGTTCTTGCTCGTCGTCGTCGAAAGCATTATGAAATTAGGCCCCGAAAAAAGCGCCGTGTATGTTTTGTCGCTGGGTCTTTGCTCTTTTTGCGTCCGAGCAACGTTCAATCGAGGCTGCTGCGCGGCTAATTGAGTTTTGATTTGTCCGAATCATATTTTCTAATGGCACACCAGATGCTGGTGTTGCTTTTTTCTAGCAATTTGCTTGGTGAGTCAGACCTGCGAAAACACATCAGACACAACACGGCCGCGCAGTGATGAATTTAAAAATCATGAGTTGCTTTATTGCTTTAATAATATAATAAGCCGTGGTTATTTGCCGCCGCCGAAGCCACCGTCGACGTCACAAGCACACCTTTTTACTCACCAACTCTCGGCCTTAATTTGTGCATGCGTCTTAATTTTGTTGTGACTCACATTTGTCCCTGCGTGAAAAATAATCGCCCCGAGCGAGGAAAATCATAATGAGATGCGTGTGGGCGATCAGTTCTGAAGTTTGTTTTAAATGGAGTGACACATAAAGATGATGATTCAAAACGAGATCAGCCGCTGCTGACGAGGCCTAATGGGTTTGGAAGTTTCTTTCCTTGTTCAAAGCTCAATCAACCTTACCTTCTGTATTTTAGAATAGCATAAAATATAACATTCAAATCGTTTTGTAATCGACACGTAAGTAAAATATATTGTTTGAAATTTATTTGTTTACAATATTCCTATTTATTAAAAACAATTTTATTAAAAAGATATATTTAATTACAATTTCATTAGAAATTTGCAATTTTTTTAATATGTATTTATTTAAATGTTTTTAATATTTGCTGTATTGTATTTAAAAAATATTGATTACGTATTTCAATTTTGAGGAAATATGTTTATAATCGTATTAACAAAAACCCAATTCTTGATATAAATTGTGTAGAACGGTGATTTTCTTAAAGAAGCATATCCCAGAAAACACTGACTATTAATGAACAAATTTCCATTCACTTTTATTTATTTTAATTATTGGGTGAATTCGACATAATACATACTAAAATTTAAAAAATGGTTAAAAATTATTATGTTCTGAAAATATTTAAAATAAATTACAAAATCTACTAAATTGTATAAAATGTATTCTTCTCCTGTTAAGTCGTACACATGTTGTGTTCAATAAAATTTTCGAATCTAAAATCTACTAAAAAGCATACATGGAACGAAATACATAATACGTGCAAAACATCTGATGAAATTTCGTATCATTTTAAAGAATTTTGCAACTTAAATATATAGGGATATTTGCTTTATAAAAATGCATAAATAAATTAATTAACAAAATATTAGAAAGACTTCCTCGAGCGAGCTGAAATCTCCAAATATTCTTTCTGTAGCAAATATGAATCATTAAATCTCATGGGACTTTTTATCGCATTTTCCTTGCTCAAATTTATATTTTAACCTATTTTTAAAAAAATATTCAAGAATAGCCTGGAAACCAGAAAAACTAAGATTATCTGCTAATTTTGCAGAAAAACCTAATAAAATTTGCAAGTCTCTTCTGCAACGTAAGGTGCAGGTTGAGGAGCGGCCATAATCAGCAATGCAAAAGAGACATTCCGCTTCGGTAAACAACGTGCCGAGCAAAAAGCAATGCGCGAGAAAGGCAGGCACAAAAGCAGCTATTAAACCGCGACAATGATCTTGTACACATCACGTCTCGTCTTTCTTTCTCTCGCTCATTTAGCATTCAAGGTCTCACTGCTGTCGGCGATTGATCATCTCTTGCTCGCCAACAACAAAAAGCGACTTAATTGATCAGAGCGATAGCGGTGTGCATAATTCTGTCTCCATCCTCGTCACTTGCTATCATCGCGCCAGCCACTTTAAACCCGAACAATGACACGCTAATGATTTCCCTCTCGTCTCTCTGCGGCCCGGTGCAAAATATAATAATGCTGCGCAAATGATAATGCTGCAGACAAGCCGCCGTTTTACTCTCTCGCGTTCGCAATCAGCCGCCGGCGTGGTTTCACTTTTTGCCTCGCATTTGGCTGCTGCAGTGAGCTTAAACGCTCCATTGTTCAAATAAAGGGTTTTGGGGAATTGAAAAAAATGTCTAACTTTTTGGAAAAGGGAAAAAATTTGTAGGGAAAGCCCTGTATTTAGTTATTGGTATTGCGAACTACAAAAAAATCGGCTTTGAAAATGAAATATTTTTTTTTTATAAATTTTAGAATATAAAATAAGAAATTTACATTTATCATAATTTTGATTCACTGCAAATATCAAAGCTTCAAAATCGTGTATTTTAGTTGTAATTAAATATTTAAAAGTGTCTTTATGTGTTCAACGAATAAGCCTGTAGTTAAAAAATTATTTGATGATATTGAAATTTGCAAATGGCGCAAAAATTTTCTTAATATATAATGATAAAAATTGTGGAGAAAACAAATTATGGGACAATTTCCATTGTACGCACACAGCAAATTTCCCAGTTAATTTAATCTATATTAATTGTGATTTTCATTACTATGTCTCTTAAAATTTTATTTCCGATAAAGAGTTGAATTGAAAATTATTGATAGAAAGAAATTAACGTTTAAAAATTAAATTATTCTTCATGAAATTATAACCAGTTTAATGGATAAAAAAGCTTATCCTTTTCAATTTCATTTCCAATTGAAGAATAAATAAATTGTATTATATTTTTAACCATTTTTATTATTTAAAGTAAAATTGTTTCAGTAAAAGCATTTGCGCCGTTAACATTCTAGCAGATGAATATTAGAAAGAAAAAAAGAAATACTTTCATTTTTACAATAGAGCTCCGAGTTAGAAGCCATAACGACACTTAACAATCTTTTGTTACATTTCGCCATTATAATATTTGTGCAAAAAGAAACAAATTACCGACTTTATGGACTCGGGCCGACGCATAAAAAGCACGAAGCGCACCCACGTCGTGCCCGCTCTCTCTTTGTACCGACTGGAAATTCAATATATTTACCCAGGCAGGCGTCGATCAGGCGCCGCTTAATGAACAAAAACGCGATATTTGCTCAAAGAGGTCAAGTCGGCGCGATCCATTTCGCTGGCGCACAAACCAAAACATACGCATTCGTTGCCAACAAATATAACGAACGCGGCGCACGCAAACTTAAAAAGCGATCGATACATCAGAGTCTGGTCGTTTTAAGT